CACATACACATGCACATACATTCTCCTGTCTATTGATGGGGAGCGCCACCTGCTGGACACTGGGTCCAGCGTCCCATGAACATCGTGAATAAGGCATCAACCGGGATCCCCCACACACACTCTCTTCGAGTTGTGTATAGCGAACATGACAAAACATACATACAACAGATTCACTACCTTACCCTTCCCGAACCACATAAACAAACGAACTACGGGCTGCGCACCCGTGCCCTCACAGTAAGTCAATGGGTCCGCAGCAGAAACGCAAAGGACCAGTCCCCTGACAAATTCAACCCCCAAAGAACCTCCTTATCTGCTGGTCTCCCCCCCTAAAAAATGCGGCACATTGACACAAACGTCCGAACCCATTTACCGCAGCCCTTAGGGCTTCTAAAAATACATCACCTACGGGAACGGATGCAGCACCCCACTATATGGCAGCCCTTAGAGCTGCGAACGTTTTTCCAGGGTGCCTCCTGACAGTGCCCAAGCTCATCCATCAGATCTGGTTGTGCCCTCAGAGAAAGGAGCACCGGGTAGGGAAGAGTAGCCAAGAGGTGGCAGTTGGAGTCCCCCAGCCAGCAGATCTGGAAGTGCCCCTGGGAGGAGCACTGGAAGGGAGGAGCAGCCGCAGAGGTGGCAGGTGGAGCCTGAGTCAAGTGTGTGGAGCCGAAGGCGATCTTTTTTATCAACGAGGGAAGCAATTCGGAAGTCAGCGCGCATGGGGATGGTGGCACCGGACTACAAAGAACGAGGCCGTCGGCCGTAGATTCATTACATCAACGGCAAGTATGTGAGTAGCACGGTGCCCGGACTACAAAGAACGAGACCGTCGGCCGTAGATTCATTACATCAACGGCAAGTATGTGACTAGCAGGATGCACGTCCAATGAGTGGAATCAATCCGTGGACAATGATGACCGCCAGAAAATGCGACATGTTTTCTCTGTGGGCGGGTGATTGCCACCGAGTGGCCTCGCGGGCTCGCATGCGCTCCACAGGCGCTGTGGAGGCGTGGCAGCAGGCGATGAACGGATGGCTTGCAGAGCGTGAAGTCCGTCCCTGAAGAGGTTGTTGTCCCGGTGGCGGGTCATTGCTCCGTCATCCATCGATTGCGGTAGGGATGACTTGTGTTGTATGCCAATTTGACCGTCAGCACGAGTTTTTGTCTCCTTCATTGGCTGGTAGAGCAGTGGAAAGGTGGGGGAGCGCGATGAGACCGATTTGAGGGGCGGTGGCGCTCCGGGACCACACACACACATGGCGGGAGGAGAGCGCTTCCAGCAACGCCTTCTTTCCCTGTCTATAGTGGTTGTGTAACTCGACCTTTATCCTTCGTCGCTCTCGCCGTTTCCGGTCGCTTCCTACGTCCGAATTAATCGTGTCTGTCTCGGCGCGCCAACCTCAACACTGGTCACGGTGGTTATTGCCTTCAACAGTATCTTTAGCAAGAGTTGAGCTTGCTTGGCGGATCTTTGATTCGGTGTTGATGGGACTGCGGCTGTCCGTGGCTGTTGTTTTTCTCTAGGGTAACTGACGAGAGTTCGGGAGGAGGGGGGGAATGAGCGAGGGGAGGGGTGCGAGAGGGAAAGAAAGGTGGGAGATATGTATCGGGATCGGTGTTGCTTTCTCCCCTCGCTCTTCTGTCTGCCTTTCTTCCGAGAGAACAGAGGCGGAGGAGCTGTGTGAGCGTGTGTGGCTCAGGCCAGCCAGTTATGTCTGGCAAGGAAGGTGTTTCGGGGACCGAAGCCTGACGGTTTCTTAGTAACCCGAGCGGGCAACTTCCGAGAAGGGGAAGGAGGCGTTCTGTTATAGCGCGGGAAAAGGGTCTCAGACTTGACAGTCTTGATAGAGAGGAAGTGGAAAGAGGAGGAAGGGCAGGTGGAAGAAGATGACTGCAATGGGTGAAGAGAGTCTGTCTACCCAGGGGGATTCTCAGGTCGTGTATCGCTCGGCCGAGCGCCATGCCGCTGTTGGCCGCAAGGGAAAGCAGGCTTCGTCGCCAGTGCAGAAGCATCGCCCTCTCGCTAGCGATGTGTTTCCCTTGCCCATATGGCTGACAAACAGGTTCTTTATGGTCTTGTTCTTTGCGGCGTCGTACTATCTTCTGCGACGGTGGCGCGAGAAAATCCGAACTTCGTCACCTTTCCATCTGCTGAACATGGCGGAGGTGGCTGCGCTTGTAGCCCAGCTTGCGTCCTTCATTTACCTGATTGGCTTCTTCGGCATCGAGTATGTGCAGACGGTGGTGGCGAGCCGGAACCTCGACGGCGCAGGGTCCGATTTTGACGAGGACGTTGCCGGCTCTCCCATTCTGTTGAGTGATAGCAGTGGTGATGGCGTTGGCGGCGACGATGGTGTTTTGAGGAAGAGGAGGAGGGGGTTCTTTGATTCCTCTTGCAATTCCCCGGCACCTGCGTCTGGGAAGATGGCGTCGTCGTTGACTATGCCTCGGTTCGTCGCGCAGCCTGCTGATGGAGTCGTCGTCGATGGTCGGCTGCGAAGATCTATCAAGGATGAGGAGGACGATGCCGTGGCTGCCGCGGTGTTTAACGGTGAAATCCCGTCTCATTCCCTGGAGGCGGTGTTGGAGAACTGCGAGCGCGCCGTGAGAGTGCGGCGGCGGGTGACGGAAATCCATTCGGGTCGATCACTGTCTGAGCTCGCGCTGTCGGGACTGGATTATGCCAGCGTGCAGGGGCAGTGCTGCGAGATGGTCATTGGCCACGTGCCAATCCCGGTCGGGGTAGCGGGCCCGCTTCTTTTGGACGGGGCCGAGGTGTGGATCCCCATGGCGACGACGGAGGGCTGCCTTGTCGCCAGCACCAATCGAGGCTGCAAGGCGGTTTCTCAGTCGGGAGGCACGCAGACGGTGCTTTTGCGCGACGGCATGACTCGCGCTCCGGTTGTGCGCTTCGTCTCCGCGGCCAGGGCGGCCGAACTGAAGAGATACCTCGAAGATTCCGTCAACTTCGAGACGATCGCCAGAGTCTTCAGTCAGACTAGCCGCTTCGCTCGGTTGTTAGACATACAAGTGGCGATCGCCGGCCGAAGCGCGTTCTTGCGTTTCGAGTGCAGCACCGGCGATGCCATGGGAATGAATATGGTCTCGAAAGGCGTCCAGCAGGTGCTGGGGTTCCTCAGTAATGGACACTTCCCAGACATGGAGGTTTGCGGCTTATCTGGCAACTATTGCTCCGACAAGAAGGCTACAGCAGTCAATTGGATCCAAGGGCGGGGGAAGTCCGTGGTGTGCGAGGCCATGATTAGAGGAGAGGTTGTGCGCAAGGTGCTCAAAACGTCCGTCCAGGCCATGGTAGAACTCAATACGCTGAAGAACCTCGTCGGGTCGGCGATGGCCGGAGCTCTGGGCGGTTTCAATGCCCACGCGGCAAATATTGTTAGCGCCGTGTTCATCGCGACGGGCCAAGATCCAGCTCAGAACGTGGAGAGCTCATCCTGCATCACTGTGATGGAAGGTGCCAATGATGATCAGGATCTGTACGTCTCCGTCACGATGCCTTCAATCGAGGTTGGAACAGTAGGGGGGGGAACCGCGTTAGCCTCCCAGTCGGCGAATCTCAACCTTTTGGGAGTAAGAGGGGCTGACATGGACTGCCCTGGAGCCAATGCAAGAAGGTTGGCGCGGATCGTGGCGGGGGCGGTGCTCGCTGGTGAACTATCCCTGATGGCTGCTCTCGCCGCCGGACATCTTGTGAAGAGTCACCTCAAGTACAACCGTTCTTCTCCTTCATTCGTTATTCCCTCGGTGGCGTCTGCCGCCTCCTCTTTCCAGTCTTTTCCCTGTGTATCTTCAGCACTCTCACATGGGGGATCACGAGCTGAGCACGGGCAAGAGGAACAAAGTGGTGGGACGGCGGTTAAGCTCTCCTCGTCCGAGTCTGAGCTGGTTGAATCTTGCCTCGTCAATCGGTGATCCCCCATCCATGGGGAACGCACGAAATCAGCGCCTTCCTGTTCCTCGCTGCCGCTGACCGGGTTCGCAGTGCTTCCCGTCACTCGATGTCTATCGTTCCTCCCTGGGTTCAATGGATGTAGGATTACATGGCAGCCTTCTGCCTCTTGTTCCTCTGTTGTCGCCGTCTCTGTTGACTGACTCCGTGGCCAGTGCCCCTACTCACTGTGTCGGTCACTTTTCGTGGTTTCTATTCCGCCAGCCGCCCTTTCTGTTTGGCTGTGTTCTTTGTTTTTTCTGCGTCCGTTTGGGTTCTGGGTCTCGTCATCGAAGTCTCGAGACGCGGACTGCGACTTCCGTCGGTCTGTATCACCAATTGTACGTGCAGTTCGCTTCCTCTCTCTCCCTCTCTCTCCCTTTCTCTCTCTCCCTCTCTCCCTTTCTCCCTCTCGTTTCTCCCCTTCCCCACGTCTCTCTCTTGTTTTTTGTGCGGTTCTCTCGTCCAATTGCGGGCCCCCGCACTTCGCTGGTGGGCTCTCTGTGTTAGCGAACTCCATCCGGTTGTGCATCTTTTGCAGTGGTGGGGGATGAGTGCGGGAATAAAGCTGGAGTCGCAATCAGAGGAACCAGAAGAGGGGCATGCCGAACTAGCGAGCTGGTGCGATTGTGGATCTGCTAGAGAGAGAGAGAGAGAGAGGCAGTCCGTGTACATTGTTGTGGGACGATTATAACTACTTTGTAAAGTGTTCTTGTTTGGTCAGCCGTTTGGCTGAACGTAGTTTTGAGTGGAAGAAGCGGGAGGAAGCTCTGATCACATCACGTCTGTGAGCCAGTGGTCGCGGTTATTCCAGTTCTCCTGCCGAGCACGATGTCATGGGGGTCTCGTCTATCCGTAGCCTCATACGTAATTATTGAGGTGCTGGAATTGTGCTTGGTATTTCCATTCAGTCCGTTCATTTTAAATTCACTTCCCGATTTATGCGTGCGTGTGCTGTGAGCTGTGGGCTTTGAGAGTCGATACATGTGGCCGTCTTATCAAGTTAGTTTTGGACGTGGATTCTGTGTGTGGCGTGCGATAATTGCTTTGTTGCTCTCCTGGGCCAATCATATGTGTTAATCTGATGATCGTTAGCGACCTCAGTTTCCATCACCGCTCTAAGCAGGTGTCCGTCACTGACGCTTGTGTGGATGCTCTGCTGATTACCTTTCTTCTCGTCATTGGTTGGTCTCTGGTGGGCGCCTTTTGTGAAAGAGCATGCCTGATTATCTTTCGATACGTCATGCGCATTGTTTCGTTCTAAAAATGGATGGGCGGGTGAAAAAGCAGGGTAGGTATTTTGTTAGCGAGACCGTCAACGAGTCTTCTTCACGACCGCGGCTCAGGCAGCCGCACTTTGAATTTATGTTACTTGCAAATACTAAAACGTGTTAGTAACCCACCAGGCGTTGGTTGGTGTCTGGGGATCAAAACTCTGATCTGAGGCGGCAGGGGAGAAACCGTGTTCGCGAGGGCAACAGATGAACGGCCTTCCCATCTGGTGCCGCTCCCGGCATTCAGCAGGTGTCTCCGCCGAACAAAATGCGATGATGATGATGATGATGATGACGATGATGATGCGCCTACGTCAATTAGGAGAGGCAAATGTATCTTTTGGTGGATGGTAGAAATTCAACGAAGAAGAACAGTTACCGAGCCGCCTAGTTGTTGGACCCAATAGAACGCCCTGTCCGAATAGCTATATATCTATAGACTGGAAGTTGCCTAATTACGGCTGTAATGACCGGGAATTCTATTGGGATGAAGACGGTAGCTCGTGAACCCAGTCCGGGACGGAAGTACCTGGTATTTGTCGGGGAATTTGTTATTTGTTCTTTCCTTGTTTCTTCTTCGGGCAGTTTATCTTGTCGGAACATCTTGAATGTCCTCTAGATATGATTGAGCTTTCAGAAGGTCACCCACCATAGGCTTTGAATTGTTTCTTCACCAACTGGACATACGAACGTATGACTCCTGATTGGCCGACTGGCAGTTGTTGCGAAGTGTTTTGTCTAGCAGGTTGTTGACAACAACAAAAGACTCTTTCAGCGGATGGACGGAAGACTTCCGGGGTTTGTCGACCGACCTGTCAATGTTGCGGTTAAGATTGACCTAACAACTGCAAGTCGGAAACGATGAAGGAGGGCGTAGGAGGTATTAATGAGTCTTGTGAATGTGGTACTGACACCTTAAGAACAATCTCGAAGTTAAAAAGGAAGAAAGGAAGAGGAGAACGACAACGGTAAACGATGCCGCCACTGTCGAATCAGACCTTGACGTGCCAGAGCGTATCATCATATCACCACTCTTGCGTCATATCCGTCGGCGTTTGCTCCAAGCCGCTGTTGGTGTTTGACTTGCTTGGGCAGTAGCAGAGTCGGTTGGAGATCTGCGGCAATCCCCTACTCTCTCTCTCTCTCTACATATATATATAGATATATATGTCGATATGTATTCATATGTATTCTGTATTCGTATGTATTCATATATGTCGATATGTATTCGTATGTATTCATGTATTCATATATCCATCATTCCACATTTTCTTGTGTTGCTCATTCTTGGCCGTTGCTGGGGTGTTTCGTTTTGCGGGTCTACTGAATTGTTCCGTTTTTTTGACTATGGATATGGTATATTTGTTGTGGTAATCTTGTCTGCATCCCGGTTGGTTTTGTCCCGTTATTCGGTCTAAGCAGGTAGCGGTGCTTTATGTGGGATCAGTCATCCGTTTTTTTTATTGTCTTGGCATCCTAGTTGGTTGTTTCCCGTTGTTCGGCCTTTTGGAACGCGGGGCAGTGCTTGTATGTGGGAATCATCATCCGGGATTGTCTTTCATACGGGTTCTCGGGGTTCTTTTTATTTCTTTGCAGAAAGAATGTTTTGACATCCTGGTTGGTCTTGTCCCGTCGTTTGGCCTGTGGGCAGGGGTGGTGCTTGCATGTGGGACTTGTCATCTGGGATCTGTTTTGTTGCCCCCTGTTCTGTATTATTTGGCTGTTCCCTTCCTCTTTTCTTTGCCTCTGTGCCTTCTGGCTGTGTGCAAGTGGGTCGATATGATACACGGGGGTGGGGGCAGCCGCCGCTCAACCTACATCCACGTGGGCGGCCTTGTACGCGAGAGGTTCTGAACAGGGGGAGTTATAAGGAAGAAGATAAAAAACTGAATTCATTTTTTCCTGTTTTTCTTTTTTTCTTTTTTTCTTTTTTTCTTTGTTTCTTTGTTTTGCGTTTGGGCTCTGATACTCTTGTGACTATATATGCATTTATATGTATTCTGTATTCATATGTACTCATATATGTCCATATGTATTCATATGCATTCATGTAGTCGTATATGCATATATTCATACATTTATATGCCTACGGTTTACCGGGCAGCTCTGTTTGACTATATATATATTCGAGGATAAATGTATGCAACTCGGCGGGTAGCTGATTCGGCAGATCTGTGGCAATCGCGCACTTCTTACCATGAAGAAGAAAGTCGTGTAGGTCAACGCATGAGTTCGCCGCGTCACTTTTGACCTAATAATATTTGCTGAGACCTGATTCCCGGCTATCTTGTACGGCAGGTGTGGGAGAGCCATTGTAGCCGTCCGGGGTTTGCTTAGGGGAGTATAGAGGGGGAAAAGATTAAGGGGGAAGGAGAGAACAAAAGCTGCAGAAAGTTTGCTCTGAGAATGCGAGGAACACGGGCAGTCAACCTGGCTTGAGTGTGTGTGTGTGTGTGGTGATACACTCAGGCGGTTGATGTGGTATGTGCATGCGAGCTGATGCATGCGTGCCTGCGTGTGCGTCTGTGCATCCTGGTGAGCTGCGTGTGTGCATGTCATTTTGTGCCTGCCTGTGTATGTTGCGCGTGTGCGGGTGCTGTGGGCTTGTGCGTGTGCGTGCGTGTCATTTTGTGCCTGCCTGTGTATGTGCACGTGTGTGGGTGCTGTGGGCTTGTGCGTGTGTGTTTGTGTGTGTGGTGATATGCTCAGGTGGTCAATGTGGTATGTGTGTGCGAGCTGATTCGTGCGGGCCTGCACGTGCGTCCTGCGTCCTTGCATGCTGGTGAGCTGCGTGCTTGCGTGAGTGTCATTTTGTGCTTGTGCCTGCCTGTGTATGTGCGCGTGTGTGTGTGTTGTGTATGTTTGTGTGTTTCATGTTGTGTGCATGTGTGTGTGTGTGTGTCTCGGTGTGTGTGTATGTGTGTGGTGTATGTTTGTGTGTTTCGTGGTGTGTGTGTGTCTCGGTGTGTGTGTGTGTGTGTGTGTGTGTGTGTGTGTGTGTGTGAGAGAGAGAGAGAGAGAGCATTACCCTGTGATTTTGCTTTCGTGTTTGCATATGTTTGCGGACCTCACCTTGTAAATGGGATGGTTTGTGCGTGTGTGTCAAGGTCTTGCATTTTCAGCGGCAGTCGACCAGGATGCAAAGTGGGTTCTTTGGGGGAGGGGGGGGAATTGGGGGACCAGTCCTTCGTGAAATTGCGGACTACCTACAGCTAGCTCTGGTAGAACCGGGACTCTTGAAAACGGAAGGACCGGTCATCAGGTGGATCGGACGACAAAAAGAAGAGGGCATGTCAACTGCGAAAGGGCCCTCAGGCCCAGGTGTTGAGGCCCATCTTCTCAAAACAGGGAGGTCAGGCGCAACGAAAGAGGCATTTTGCAAGAGGCAACTTTGGCGATTTTATGTGCTCGGAGGAATCCGCAGAAAAATCTGAAATTTTGGGAATCCATGGATGAGGTCGTGTTCTTTCCAGAAAAAATATCAGGCCATATCATTTAGTTGCCTCTTGCGGTTTATGTGCTTGGAGGAATCCGCAGAAAAATCTGAAATTTTGAGAATCCATAGATGAGGTCGTGTTCTTTCCAGGGAAAATATCAGACCGTATCATTTAGACCGTGAAATAATCATCGTGCCAATTTGGCACATTTTCCATTTTTGCCACTCAGCCATGTGTGGGCCAACTGAAAAAGTTCTTCAAATCCAGTGAGTTGTAGATTGCAACCTCAATTTGACCCATATTTCAATTTTGCCATTCAGCCTCTCTCTCTCTCTCTGGTATCGCCCGCCCCCTCCCTCTCTCTCTATATCTCTTTCTTTCTCTCTCACTCTCGGTCTCTCTGTCACTCATATCAGCAAATGGAACAAAACTCTCTCCCTCTCTCTTTTTGGTAGCCCCTCCACCCCCCCCTCCTCTCTCTCTCTTTCTCTTTCTTTCTCTTCTCTCACTCGTATCAACAAGTGGAACAAAACTCTCTCTCTCTCTCTCTCTCTCTCTCTCTCTCTCTCTCTCTCTCTCTCTCTCTCTCTCTCTCTCTCTCTCTCTCTCTCTCTCTCNTCTCTCTCTCTCTCTCTCTCTCTCTCTCTCTCTCTCTCTCTCTCTCTCTCTCTCTCTCTCTCTCTCTCTCTCTCTCTCTCTCTGTGTGTGGTAGCGCCGGATGCAAGAGCTAGTTGTCAAGGCACGCGACCAGATGGCCAAGACGCAGCAATGTATGAGCCAACAGGCCAATCGCCAGCGTGTTCCTTGCCCATTCCGTGCCGACAATCTTGTTTAGGTTTCAGCTGCGGAATTCAGCCTTGAACAAGATATCTCTTGCGAGCTCCTCCCGGAATGGATGGGGCCTTGGCCGATCGTGGCACCCGCTGGGGATGCACCTGAGGTACCTTCCTTTACGATTCAGTTGCCCACCACTTGCTCGTCAACCTGGTCTTTCATTGCTCCAAGTTGGCTCTTTACACGCCAGCGGAACATGACGATTTTCCCGGGCGACGATCTCAAGACCCACCCTCTATGGACGGTTTTCAAGAGGTTGGCGACATCATCTCCCAATGGTGCTACGGCAACAGGCCAACCGAGTACTTGGTACACTTTGCGTAGTGCAGTCACAGAGCTGACCGTTGGTTGACCCGTGCGGAACCCCAAGCAACAGCTCCAGATATTCTTGCACGCTACGAACGCAAGATGCAAGGGAAGCTGGTATCTTTGGTTCCACGTCGCACACGCATCCACGTTTCACCTTCAGATCGTTAGCTTCGCCCTCGCCCCGGCCTGACTTCATAAGGAGGGGGGGGTGTTACATGCTCCGCCTGCAACAGGCCGCACGGGCCCCTTTTCAGGCCCGTGACGTTTTCAGGTCAAAAGCCTGAAAACAAGGGCCTACAGGCCCCCGTGTCGTTTCTGCCTGAAAGCTTGAAAACAAGGGCCTATAGGCCCTGTGTTGTTTTAGGCTAAATCAGGGCCTTTCCGACCCTTAGTGTTTTCAGCCTGAAACTGAGGGCCATTTTTATGCCCTCATCAGTTCGACCTGCCCTGAAACTCAGGCAACAAACCAGGGTTTTAGCACAGGCCATTTCGGGCCTGTTTTCAAGACACCCCCTGGTTGAGCTTCAACGCCAGGGTCTGGCACATTTCGGCATTGGCAAGAGCAGCCTCCTGGATGGGCCAACACTATTTAGGACTCGCCCGCCCTGCAGGCTGGCAGGTAGTTCCTAGGTACTTCCCATGCACTTCACGTGCAGTTCAGGAGGTAGGAGGTAGTCTTCAGGATTCGGCAGCAGCAGTCCGGAGGAGCGCTGCAGGAGTAGTAGTAGTGGTATCAGTAGTCTTCAGCGTTGGGAGCTAGTAGCGTTAGCAATAGTCTTTAGCGCTGGGCGCTAGTAAGAGCTAGAGTAGTACTGGAGAGAGAGAGAGAGAGATTGGGCGGAGGCCAGGGAGACTTACCTGCAGCGTCATAGCTCCAGCTTCGTCTTCGAGGTATTTGCAGCACAGCGCCAACTTCATAGGTTAGTACCTCGCATATGAGAGAGAGAGAGAGGGAGAGAGAGAGAGAGAGAGAGGTTCAAATGAGAATGAGTCTTCCGCGATAACGCGAAAGATTCATTCTCATTTCAACGTTTGGAGAGAGAGAGAGAGAGAGAGAGAGAGAGAGAGAGAGAGAGAGAG